CTCCTCTCTGACCCTCACCTGGTGATACCCTGAACGCAAATCTATCTTGGAGAACCAAGATGCTCCCTGAAGCTGGTCAAAGAGGTCGTCAATCCTCGGGAGTGGGTAGCGGTTCTTCACCGTTACCTTATTCAGCTCCCTATAATCGATACACATCCGATGCGACCCGTCCTTCTTCTTCACAAACAGAATCGGGGCTCCCCAGGGTGAACTGCTCGGTCTAATGAAACCCTTGTCTAACAGCTCCTGAAGCTGTGTAGACAACTCTTGCATCTCAGGAGGAGCCAACCGATACGGTGCCTTGGCTATCGGAGCCGCACCAGGGACTAGGTCGATCCTGAACTCCACCTGTCGCTCTGGAGGTATCCCAGGCAGCTCCTCGGGGAATACATCCGCGAACTCTCGTACTACGGGCACATCGCCCACCGTCGCCTTACCCGCCTCCCGGGTGTCCATGACATATGCGACATATCCTGCGCAACCCTGCTGAAGGTAACGCCTTGCCCTCGCTGCCGAACAGAAGGCTGGCCCTCGCTGTGATCTCTCACCCTGAATTACTAACTCTCCCCCACTTGGGGCTCTGACTCGTACTAACTGTTGCGCGCAATCTATCACTGCCCCATTGGGACTCAGCCAATCCATACCAATAATGACCTTGTTTCCCCGCAATGGAATGGGAACTAGGTCAACCAAATACCGCTCTTCGAACAACCTTAACACACAATCTCGGAAGACCTCTGATGCTCGCACCGACCGGTCGTCCGCAATCTCGACCTCTAAAGGGCAATCCAACATGCCCGAGGACTCAGGAAACTTCTTGCTAAGTGCAAGAGAAACAAAGGATCGGGTAGCCCCCGAATCAAACAACACCTGGACTGGAATACCGTTCACATGGAACGATCCTAAACGTATATACACAGAGCACATATCAATATCATAAATCTCATATAAATAGGTCAGAGGGAAAGAATCATACCCGTCACCACATCGGGTGCAGCGCGTGCCTCCTCGGCTGTCAGCTGAAATGCCCGGCTCCTCACCACCGGAGCCTCTGCCTTGCCCTGCCGGCCATCTGTAATCCGCAGGGTCGCTGGAGCTGGCGCCTGTACTGGCGCTGCTGCTGTCAACTGGGGGCAGTTGGCCCTCTTGTGGCCCCTCTGGTTGCAGTGGAAACACAGCAACTCAGATGTCTGAATAACCGGAGCAGGGGCAGTACAATCCCTGCTGAAGTGTCCCGTCTTGCCGCACCTGTAGCAGCCTGTCGATCCTAATCTACACGCTCCCTCGTGCGACCTGCCGCACTTCCTGCAGCGGCCCGGTCCTGAATGGCCTTTCGGCCTACCATCTGATCCCTTGGGCTTCTTTCCCGAAGCCCCTATCGTCTGTCCCTCCTCTGCCTTCCTCTTCCGGATGTGCTCCAGATCTATCTCCCTCTCCCTCGCCCTAGCAATCATAGAATCCAGGGTAGGGCAAGCTGAAAAACTGACATGCTCCCGAATGTCGGCTCGCAGCATGTCATGGTAGCGGGTCCTCCTCATATCCTCATCACCTGCATACTGGGGCACCAGTAACGCCCTCTCCCGGAACTTGGCAGTGATCTCCGCCACTGTCTCTGTCGTCTGCCTCATATCCAAGAACTCCCGTGCCAACTGCTGGAGCTCCACCGCAGGCGCGAACTCCGCCCTGAATCGTGTCACAAAGTCCGGCCATGTCATAGCCTCAATGGCCGCGGCTCCCAAAGAGTCACAAACCGACTCCCACCAATCTCTAGCTCTGTCACGTAGACACCCTGCTGCAAATCGTACCTTCGACCCCTCGGGGCAGAAGCTGATCAGCTGTGCAGACTCAAGGTCTGCAATCCATCGTCTGGCAGCAATGGGGTCCTTCGCCCCATGGAAATCTGATGCACCACTGCCCCTGAAGTCCTTAAAGGACAGTGTGCGTGGTCCTGACTGGCTAGCCGCCATATCACTCCTGAACGCCCTGAGACGATCCTCCATCAACTCTACAATACCCTCCTTGATCGACCCGAAGATGATGGGAGTCGACTCAAGGATGCCCCTGGTAATCTCTGACGGAATGAACTCGCGTAGACCCTCATCAACTGGTTCGAACCCTGAACCCGAACCCGATCCTGATTCCTGAGCCTCCCGCTCCCTGTCGTGTGGTCACCATACTGCAAAACATAGCATAACCACCATCATACTATATTCCACTAACGAGGCTCACATTCATATCACAAGTCCCCGGTCTCGTCTCGGCCCTTTTTGAATCGAGTACGGATCCTCCGCTTTCAGTAGTACGGGCCCATACTACCTTCCACGTCTATCCGTACTTTCCTCAAGAATTGCCTCAACTCAACCAAGTCCTTTCTACTAATACTGCGGTTCTCGTGCTACTCTCGCCCTAGGCTTGCCCTAAGTAATCGCCATCCCACTCTCTGCCATCAGCTGCACAAGAAGTCCCTGCTTTCTTTCCCTAACTAGCTCGCGAATACTATTACATATTACTCAGACTAGATAATTCTTCGAATGAGAGGTCCTACCCTACAACGGTTGGACTCAAACAAGAGCTGCGAAATAGGGCTAGACCCAACCTTCTGAAATTATTTAATCCTTGCAATATGTAACTTAGCATATTCGTTCACTAGTTAGTGAAAGACGACTAGAACTCCTAATAGCACAAAGCAAGCAGCATTCGGGCATTGAGTACACATAATCAAGTATATACTACTCTGGCTATCATACTGACTGATCTGTACTAGCATGCAATTCTCAAAAAGCCGAAACACATAAAGCAGGCACATAAGGCATCATTCCTAGATCCTTAGTCCTATTCTAGCATGCTGTTCTACTGAAACTGAAATGATAATCATAACGTAAACTTGTATGGGTACTTTGGGGAAAACTTACTTGAGCTCGGCCGGTCGCGCACATCACACACCTTTTTCTTTTTAGAAACCCCTTTTACTTAGTCTTTAGAAAATCATTTCTTATAAAAATCTTTTAATCCCTCGATTTGAGTCCAGACACCCCCGAAGGTGTGTCCGAATCCCTCAAACCAGGGCTCTGATACCAACTTGTAACATCCCAAAAATACCAGCTAAAAATTTCATTTTTAAATTAGGTTAATTCATAAAAACATCGTTACAAAACATTCATAATATTAATTTATGTCTGAGAACCGGTAACATCATAGTAAAATATTCAGAGTACATCCCAGGAAATCCATAGTGCGGAAAACATGAGAGTGTGTGTGATATGCCGCTACCGCGCCAGCTCCTTTTCCCTAGCTGAAGAGATACCTGAAAACAAAACTATAAAACGTAAGCACGAAGCTTAGTGAGTTCCCCCATAATGCCACATACCATGCAATCATATAATGTACAGCTAAGAGATACGGGCCTCGCCCACACCCATAGGATACGGGCCTCGCCCACACTCTACTAGCTAGGAGATACGGGCCTCGCCCACACTCTGCTATCCATGGAGATACGGGCCTCGCCCACACTCCGCTACTAAACCATAACATACAAGTATCACACAGACAACAAGTATAAGCAATCTATCATACTGGCATATATCACAATCAAACTCAGCTATGAGATACGGGCTCCGCCCACACTCCGATACTAACATATCGTCTATACGGGCCGGCCTTGGTGCCTTAGACCCGTCCCTACTGGAAGGAAACTCACCTCGAGAGTAGCTGCCGAAAACCTGCTCAGACTACGCCTGGCTGCCGCACCGGTAATCCCTCCGGCTATAAATTCGTAAACATGGATTAGGTACTCATAAATACCCCTAAGGTCAAATGACTGGTCAAAGTCAACTCCTTGGTCAAGTCAACCTTCTGATTGACTGGACTCGCCGAGTCCATATGGCGACTCGCCGAGTCCTTCTATGTCTAGCCCGACTCTGACTCATCGGGCCCCTGTTCCCACTCACTGAGTCAGCCTGACTTGCTAGACGGGGACAACTAACAAACCCGCGACTGGACTCGCCGAGTCCAGGGGGAGCTCGCCGAGTCCGACGAACAGATCTCCCAAATCGCTCCAATCTTCCATCGAACATCAACCTGGAGTTTGGAGATTCTGGGACTATAGCTACACGTTAAATTGCTAATTCCACGTGCGACTACGGAGGGTTGGACCTCCTACACTTAAACCCTTCTTATCCTAGTGACTGATCATATGACTCGCCGAGTTGGAAGAACAACTCGTCGAGTTCAAGGCTATATTCAAGGGACTCGCCGAGTTTGAAGAACGACTCGCCGAGTACCAGACAATCTTCATAGGACTCGCCGAGTTGTTTATCCAACTCGCCGAGTCTAAGGCCATCTTCATGGAACTCGCCGAGTGCACTTTGGCACTCGCCGAGTACCCTTCGACTCTTCACCCATTCTGGCCAATTCTGAGACATGCAATGGTTCCAAACCATAAATCTAAGCTCCTAGGGCATAAACACACGGAGTTTGGGAGGTTTAAGGTCTTGCAATCCATATAAGGGACAAAAAGGAATCTATTATACTAAGATCAAGAAGGAGCTTTCTTACCTGGTTAGGAGCTTCTCCCAGGGTAGATTTCGGATCTACCACACTTCCTTGCACCCTCCAACTTCCTCCTTCTTCTCTTAAGCTTCAAACTTCCTTCACCAACCAAAATCACTCACAAGGATCAAAATGGGCTAGGGTTTCGCTCTACAGTTCTTCTGGAAGAGAATGGGACGAAATGGGTGTTTTAGAATGGGTAAAATAGGGTGCAATGTCTGAAAATAGAGTTTCATCCAGACAGGTGGACTCGCCGAGTCCATGCATCACTCGCCGAGTTCACCGCTCAAATCCCGTGTCCACCCTGCTGCTACTCGGCGAGTCGGGACGCAGACTCGCCGAGTTCGTGGCAAAAATAAGATAAAAACTTAAATAAAATCATACCATGAACCCGGTGTTACAGTGGAAGCTTTATAGAACATGCAAGTCCAATACATGT